ACTACTACAAAGCCATAGTAATCAAAAATAGCATGGTACTGGCACAAGAACAGACTTGAGGACCAATGGAATAAGACTGAAGACACAGAAATGAACACAGACCTATAGCCATCTAATCTTCACTAAGGGAGCTAAAAAAGTAGAATGGAAGAAAGACAGCCTCTTCAGTAAATGGTGCTGACAAAATTGGTTATTCACCTGTAGAAAATGAAAGCTAGATCCTTATATATCACTCTCTACCAGAATCAACTCCAAATGGATCAAAGACCTCAAAGTCAAAGCAGACACTCTGAAAACATTACAGAAGGAGTAGGAGAAACTCCAGGGCTCCTTGGCACAGGCTGAAATTTTCTTAATAAAGACCCAGAAACAATAAATCAAGAAATGTTGGACAAATGGGATTGTATGAAACTGCAGTTTCTGCATGGTAAAGGACATGGCTAGCAAGATCAATTGAAAGCCCATGGATTGGGAGAAGAGCTTCACTAGCCATACAACAGACAAGGGTTTCATTTCTAAAATATAATTAGAACTCAAAAAATTAACTTCCCCCACAACAAATCCTCAAAGAAACAACCACCCGATCAATAAGTGAGCTAAAGACTTAAAGAAACTTCTCTGAAGAGGAAATAAGAATGGCCAATAGATACATGAAGAAATGCTCAACTTCTCTAGCCATAAAAGAAATGGAAAACAAAACAACATTGAGATTCCACCTCACCCCAGTCAGAATGGCTATAATCAAGAAATCTAATAACAACAGATGCTGGAGGGGATGTGGCCAGATGGGAACCCTTCTGCTGGTGGAGATGTAAATTTGTTCAACCACTTTGGAAAGCAGTATGGAGGTTCCTCAAAAGACTCCACATAGAGCTCCCCTATGACCCAGCAATACCACTTTTGGGCATTTACCCAAATAATCAAAAACAAGGCTAAAGCTACCAACACAACTATGCTTATTGCAGCATTATTCATCATAGCTAAGATATGGAACCAACCCAGATGCCCCTCAGTAGATGAATGGATCAAGAAAATGTGGTATATATACAATAGAATTCTATGCTTCCCTCAGGAAAAATGACACCGCCCCATTTGTTGGGAAATGGAAAGATTTGGAAAAAATTATATTAAGTGAAGTAAGCCAGACCCAATGAAACATAGGTCCCATGGTTTTCCTTATTTGCAATAACTAGTCTATGTCTAGGATAATGTTACCGGACAAGCAGAAAAGGTCAAAAGCTATGTATACATGACCATCTAAGATGATGTGAAGTAAAATGAACCCCAAGGTAGGGACACAAGAGGTTTTTTTTGTCACTGTTGTTTTTAATGTACTATGTGATTTGTTTGTTTCTTTTGTATGTTCTTCCCCCATAGTATAATCCCCGGTTGTCACTGTATTTGATTCAGTGCCCTGCATCTTATATATACATTTTTCTAATTTGGAGAGGGGAAGGGAAATAAAATGCTGAAATAAGGATACAGATTGAATCATTGTAACAATGAGATGTACAAAACACTATATTGAAAATGAATTTTACAACTTGTGGTGGGGAGGGAGGAGTTTGAGAGGGAAGGGATGGTAGGGGAAAAACAAAGGAGGGGGTAACAATGCTTGATAGGAAATGTACTCATTACCTTATTCATGTAACAGTAACCCTTCTGTACAGTATCTTTACAATACAAACTATATATTTAAAAAAAAGACCTGGGTTTGATCCTTAAATCACAAAAAAATCCCCACAAATTACCCATGCCAGAAATGAAGAATACAAAAGAAATCTGTATAACATTTGTAGTAATAATTTAATTGTTCAATTCTTATTAAATAAGGCAATATGACAGAAAACAATTTCTGATAATTTACTTGAAATGGACAACTTTTTATAAACATAAATCACCAAAACTGATGTAAGATGAAATAATTTTCAATGTCACTTAAAAACTTTCTACCAGAAAACCATAGGTCTAGTTGCTCCTGTAATTGAAATATTTAAGGAATAACACCAATCTCATATAAACTCTTCAAGAGAATACATACTACTTGCCAACTCATTGTACAAGGCTAGAGCAAACCCCATAGCATTACCCCACAAGGAGATTAGAAAAAGAGAAAGTAACACATCAACCATTCTCATGAAAAAAAATTAGCAAACTCAGTCTAGTGATATACAAAAATAACAATGCATCAACCTGGATTTATTTAACTAACATTTATTTAACTACCACAATAACAGAATAAAGCAGAAAAATTATGACTGTTATGAAACATAGTAATAAAAGCTCTCACTTACACAAGCTCTTATTCAAAAGAAGGAAAGTGTTTTGTTTTTTTAGTGGGGGGAACAGTTCTGGGGTTTGAACTCAGCCTAAGATTGCTAGGCAGGGGCTCTACCACTGAGCTATACCTTTAGTCCTTGAAGGGAATTTCTTAAAGCTAATAAAATGTACCTATAAAAAATCCTACAGCTTGGCTGGGGATGTAGTTTAGTGGTACAATGCTTGCTCATCATGCACAAGGCTTTGGGTTTGATCTCCAGTACCCATCTTGAAATCTGGACCTTTGATGAGCTTCCTAGTCAGCAAAAGACACAGCTACTCAGGAGGATGAAATCTGGAGGATTGTAGTTTGAAGTCAACCTTGATTTAAAAAAAAATTCCTTAAAAAAATTCCTCATTACTCCTCCAAAAATAACAGGCAAAAAGCTGAACTCAAGTGTGATTCAAATGGTAGAGTACCAGCTATGTACAAGAAAGCTGAGAGAGTTTGAGTTCAAGCCCTGGAACAGGTTTAAAAAAAAGACAAGCCAGGAACAGTAGCTCATGCCTATAACCCTATCTACTTAGGAGGTTGAGGTCTGAGGATCGTGATTCAAAGCCAGCCAGTGCAGGAGAGTTCATGACACTCATATCTCCGATTAACCACCAAAAAGCCTGAAATGGCATTGTGACTCAATGACTCAAAGTGGCAGAGCACTGGCTTTGAGCACAAAACTCAAGGACAGTGTCCTTGAATTCAAGTTACAGGAACACACACACACCACACACCCACACCCACACCCACACACACACACACACACACACACACACACACACACACACACACAGGCGCGTGCACGTGGTCAAAATTACACCTACTAGGGTAGCAGGAAACCCTTCTGTCAGAGACTTCAGGTAGGGTGGTAGAGAGCAGATAAAAAATGCACAAGAGAAGGAAACCACAAGCTTGTGCTACAATTAAGATGCTGGGGAAATTTAAATTATTTAGATGGCATGGAAACTGAGCTAAGAAATTACAAGGACCCTTGACTTTGCTAGAGTCCTTGAACAACAGAACTAAAAGGTACAGGGATACTTTCACAACACAGCACACAGGCCTTCCACTGGGAGAAGAAACAAATTTTGAAGGGACTTACAAACCATACAAGATACAGTTCTCTAAGGTAGAACAATAAATATGACAAGTAGAATTTCTGCCCTTACCCCCATAAAGAATAGTGCAATCCAAAAGAAACTGTAAAATAAATATGTTAAAAAGAATTTAAATAAAAAAGGAGCATCCATAATAAAAGAGGAGGAAATTTTGAAATTTTGAGATTTTTTTTTTTTGGGGGTCCGGTCGTGGGGCCTGAACTCTGGGCCTGGGCGCTGTCTCTCAGCTCTTCAGCTCAAGGCTAGTGCTGCTCTACCACTTGAGCCACAGCGCCACTTCCGGCTTTTTTCTTTTTGCTTATGTGGTGCTGAGGAATCGAACCCAGGGCCTCATGCATGCAAGGCAAGCACTCTACCACTGAGCCACCTTCCCAGCCCAAATTTTGAAATTTTTTGACATTTGGAAAAGAACCAATAGAATATCTAGGAATTAAAATGTGACTTGAAATGAAAAACTGAGTGGATATATTAAAAATCACATTCTACTCTTAGTCAAGTATCTTAGTTAACTAGCAGACTTGAGTATATTGTCTAGAACACAGCAGGGAAAAGTAAGGAATAGAATGTACTGGAATACAATTGAAAGATATGAAAGGCAGACCTAAAAGAAAGACCAAAGGAAGAGAAGAAAGGAATGAGGGAGATAGATCATCGCTAAACATTTTGAAAAATGGAGACATGAGAAGTACCACAACTTCTGAATATGATGGTGAATGAAAACTATGCTGTATCTAAATGCAGGTTAGCATAACTGTAAGATGTCCTAGGTTAAAACAAAACAAAACAAAAAATGTTTTAAAAGCAGCTGGAGAGGAAAAAAATATATCACAGTACATAATCAGGCAGAAGATTTTTAATCAACAGCAATATAAGTCAGAACCTATGCAATAACAGCTTCAAAAACTAGAAAGAAAATAACTGTCAATCAAGCCACCTTCCATTCCTTCTCTATTTATTCTTACTCAGAAGATCAAAGGTGTGCCAAGAGATGACAGACTTGCCCAGAAATAGCTAGGATTTGCAAATACCAGTAACACTTGGGAAGATGCTCAATCCGGTAGAAACTGCACTTGATTCCAAAATGTGACATGGGACAGACGACCTAGACATGAGACTCCAGAAGCCTGGCTTAGGAACATATTTCTAGTCAAAAGTTGGCAGTCTTTGTGTCACAGGTTTAGACAGAATTATTTAAACAGGTCAATTGAACTCCAATATATAGTCTGTGGAATCCATAAACTGTCCAAGTACTGACTTAGCTTTTAGGAGCTAAGTGATCTTGATCATGTTACTTTATTTTTCTTTCTGACTTAGTTTCTGCACTTATATATCACAGTTCAAAAAAGATTAAATCAACAAAGATATGTAAAATATGTACCCAGCACATAGGAGGGGGGCCTAATAAGTCCCAGTCATCATTATTACTTAATCTTGAGTACAATATAGTAATTTGACCATGGAGTCCCAGTTAGTATAATTAGTTAATCATGACTATAATGCTGTAATTTGATCATGTAGTTTGACTTATCCTTAGTATGATAAAAAATTGCAATAGAAGAGGCACATACTCTGACATCCACTGAGCACCCCACAGTCCATGAGGGATTTCCTAGTACTTGATTTTGACACAGAAGGTGAACTAGTGAAGATTTCCCCACACCTGTAGAAAATAAAAGAACTTTAGTCATAGAAAAGACATGTTAGAATCCATTATGATAAGTGTAAGACTGAGAATATTCAGGAACAGAGATATTTAAAATGTTGTTGTTAGCCAGGCACAAGTGGCTTACACCTGTAAGGTTCTTGAGATTTCATCTCCAAAATAACCAGCAAAACGCCAGACTGAAGGCATTGGTAGAGTGTGAGCTGAGCAAGAAAGCCTAGCAAGCACAAGACCAGTACTGACAAGAAAGAGAGAGACAGAGATACTGTCTTATACCATATCAGTAATATCCACTTTGTTAAATAAAGTGAAGATGATCAAGTGTAGTGATGCTCTTAAATTTAGCATGAGATTTGAGGTCTTGCTAAAGCAAGACAGAATCTTGAGTTCTGACTTTAGAATGTGGAGTTCTCTTTTAGGCAAGTCTGTTATGGGGTTCAAGATTCTGTACTTCTAATGTGAAGCTACTGGACTGGGGCCTAATTTTGAGAACGACTGGGCTTGGGTAATTTCACATGAATGAATCCCCTCCTTTTGGATGACTTGATCTATTCAGTGTACTTTAGAATTACAGAATCTTAACAGATCATGCTGAGGTCCCTTCTGTAACATCATTAGGTTGTACTTGAACACTCAGTGAGAGAACTCACCATCTCATGATTCCTTAGTCAGACATTGCAGTTCTCCCATTCAGTGATTTTATTTATTTATTCACTTACTTAATTGGTGGGAGTAGGGTTTGAACTCAGGGTATCATGCTTGCTAGGAAGGTACTCTAGCACTCAAGCCATGCGACTGGAAATTTTTGCTTTAGTTATTTTTCAAATACGGTCTTGTTTTTGCCTGGGCCATCCTCAATCTAAAACTCTTTTACCTTTGCCTTCCACATAGCAAGGATTATAGATGCAAAGCACCATATCTAGCTTGATATTTGAGATGCAGTCTTGCTAACATTTTGCCTAGGCTAGACTGGAACTACAATCCTATTTTTGCTATCCACATAACTGGGATTACAGACTTGAGCTACTGCACCTGGCTCATATACAGTAAAAAAGCAGCTATCCACTTGGCCTAGAACAATTCTATTCTCTTTTGTATGCCCTGACCCTTTACTCTGAGGCAGTACTATATCTCCTTTAAAATCTCTTGGGCTCAGGCAAATCTAGTTACCAATGCGAACAGGCAGCACTTGGAGATCTAGATGAAAAGGAAAGGGAATGGGAAATCCTCCCATCCCCATATCTATGTGTGGAGTCTCTTCTAATCCTTTTGAGGTTATTTTGGGATTCCATAATGACAAGCCTAATTGGGAATTTTATGAATTGCTAATTGTGTGTCTCTTTGTGTGTATTATTATGTATAAACCTATTAGAGTACTAAAAAAAAATCACTGGACGACCATAAGTAGGGTTTTTCTATAAGGAGACAATCATTGATGATATATTAAAAAAACATATATGGTAGACAATACAAATAATACAAGCCTTTGCTTATACAGCTTGTTCTATCTGGAATATCTTATCCGTCCTCTCCCTCTATCTGGCCATTCCCATTGGTCTGGTGAATTATTCAAGACTGAGCACCATTCTAGTTACATTTTCTGATGCCACACAGATAGAACTAAGAATAGCATCCACCAGGCCTTCACTGTGTCCTGCATATTTTCTTACAGAGCACTTTAAGCACATTATTACTTGCTTGTTCATGGGTTTGATTTACTCTGTTTAAGATCCTTAAGGAGGGGTTGGGAAGGTGGCTCAGTGGTAAGAGTGCTTGCCTTGCATGTATGAGGCCCTGGGTTCAATTCCTCAGAGCCACATAAGCAGAAAAAGCCAGAAAGTGGTGCTGTGGCTCTAATGGTCGAGTGCTAGCCTTGAGCTGAAGAGCTGAGGGACAGCACCCAGGCCCAGAGTTCAAGCCCCACAACCAACCCCCTTCCCCAAAGAAAAAAAGATCCTTAAGGATTGAGGCCAAGTTTTACTCATCTCTTTAACTCTAGTACTCAGCTAAGGACATTTCCCCCCCCCCCCTATTTATACAGTAAATTTGCATAATATTATAGAAGCTTCATAAAAACCTCTTTTTTTTTTTTTGCCAGTCCTGGGGCTTGAACTAAGTGCCTTGGCATTGTCCCTGAGCTTCTGTTGCTCAAGGCTAGCACTCTCCCACTTGAGCCATGGGGCCACTTCCATCTTTTTCTGCTTATGTAGTACTGAGGAGGAATCGAATCCAGGGCTTCATGCATGCTAGGTAAACACTCTACCACTAAGCCACATTCCCAGACATAAAAACTTTTGATATCTCCTCAGTATTTCAGAGTGAATATAACAAGTTACTGTTCTCCTATTATGAGATTTCAAGTATTTTGGAAATATTAAGACACCAAAATCTTATTCTTTACCCTTTTGTTCAAAATTAAAATTATTTTCTTAGTCTATCTTTCCATAAGTAAAATCAATATGTAAAAGAAAAAAAAGCATTTTAAGTTTCTTGAGACATATTGACAAAGGACTTCCATCTGGTTACACTGCTACCAGCCAAACACAGGAGCCCACAGACCTTGTTTCCTCTCAACAGTTGGTTTTTCATTTTCAATGATTTGAGAAGAAAAAAAACCCAAAGTGGTATCTTGCTTTACCCTTACTTTCCCGGTAGAGATATTAAATCATTGTTGCAAACAAATCAATATTCTTTCCTCTCCTACAAATTCTCTTGTTAATTTCCTCAGCCCATTCAGCTACTGGGTTAAGTAGTATATTTATATGACTTTTTTTCCTCCAGTGTTGGTGATCTAACCTAAGGTCTTGCATATGCTTGGCAATACTCTACCTCTGAGCTACATACCCAGTCTTTTTTTTTTTTTTGTCGGTCGTGGGGCTTGAACTCTGGGCCTGGGCGCTGTCCCTCAGCTCTTCAGCTCAAGGCGAGCGCTCTACCACTTGAGCTACAGCGCCACTTCCGGTTTTCTGATGGTTTATTGGAGATAGGAGTCTCACGGTCTCTCTTGCCCGGGCTGGCTTTGAACCGCGACCCTCAGATCTCAGCCTCCTGAGTAGCTAGGATTACAGGCGTGAGCCACCAGCGCCCGGCTACATACCCAGTCTTATATGACCTCATATATTAAAGACATAAACCACCTCATGTAATGAAATCAAACATCTTTCCAGGCTTCCTTTTTATTCTTCTAACTTTTTTACATATAGACATTTAAAGATTTCTAGCTGGTGGCTGGTAGCTAATGCCTGTAATCCTAGCTACTGAGGAGGCTGAGATGTAAGGATCATGGTTCAAAGCCAGCCTGGATAGAAAAGTCAATGAGACTTTTATCTTCAGTAAACTACTCAGAAAAAGTTGGAAGTAGCGCTGTGGCTCAAGTGGTAGAGTGCTGGCCTACAGCACAAATGGCTCAGAGACAGCGTCCAGGTCCTGAGTTCAAGCCCCAGACCAGAAAAAAAACTTCTGAACACTCAAAACTTAAGTTTTTTTTTTCAAACTTAAGTTTTGTCATTGTATTTTCTGCATTACATCTGTTATCTATGGGATAGATTGGTGACTTTTGTGTGTGCATATATTTTAGGCTGCAGGCACATACTCGTTATCAGCCGGACACAAGGCTTCAGCCCCAGTTTTGCCTTAATATGCCAGGTTAAACATCTCTATGCAGTGATATGGTATAACTCTCCATGAATTAACTGGTTTACATGTATTTGCCAAACAGCAAGAAGAGCTGAAGTGCTCAGGAATAGTGGCTATTTGTTTCTTTAAGAATTTGGGAGGCTTTCTTTTCACTTTAGAACTAAATTAGATCAGAAGAATGACCTTGATTTGCTTCAAGGGAAAAAAAATCCAGTATAATCAAATAAATGTCAGATCCAAATATAGCTGTTGGTAATTTGTTAAAGCTCACCCCTAGTCTCTGAAAGAACAAAGAGAAAACAGTATGTGTAAGTTACAGAGACTTTTAGGATCCTTTAATAAGTATTCAAACTACTCTAGAATAAAAAAGAAGCCTCTAAATCTCAAGTCATTCCTTTCTATATTTGTGAAACTCTCAAAATTTCACAGGGGAAACAAGCCTTTATTCAGAAAGAAGTGTTGAAATCTGATTATAAAGGCAAAGTGTATTTTAATCTGTCAGATAGAAACACTGTTAAAAGAAATTGGTAAAACAACGACTGACTTTACACATATAGCCTAACAGTGAATGTGTGACAATATCAATCCCTTTCCTTATGGACTGTGTTCTGTTCTACAGCTGTCTTGTTTCACAACTAGACCTTAATGAGGGGAAAAAAACCTCACTAACTGCCTATTTAGCCACTTTTAATGAAGCAGCTGATTCTCCCAGTTATGTAAATGCACTGACTCTATACCTATAACCCTACCATCTTGTGTAGTATATGTTGAAAAGCAAATTGCTTCCAACAGTATGTAACATGAAGGAACTGTTAGATAATAGAAAACAGAATTTATAGCTAGGTTTCGGTGGCTCCCCTGTAATCCTACTACTCATAAGACAGAGGCTTGGAGGATCAAAGTTTAAAGCCAATCTGAGACTCTATCTTCAATTAGCCAGCAAAAAAGTTAGACTGGAAGCCTGGCTCAAGTGGTGCTAGCTTGAGCAAGAAAACAGGGCAAAAGTGTGAAGTCCTTAGTTCAGGCTTCTGTACCACTGCAGGGGGGAAAAAAAAAACAGAATTGTGTAGTGCTCATATACACCTACAGTCCAAGCTAAAAAAAATACAAAGAAGGATTGACATCTAAGGCCTGTCCTGGGCAAAACCCCCCAAGAGGTGGTAGAGTTCTTTCTTGCTGAGTAAGCACAGGCTTTGAATTCAAAACTCTAGTGCTGTTCCCTCTTCTTCCATCATAAAAATGGAATTATAGAAGAGATAATATATATACTTTACTTATCCTGAAGAATTGCTATCTTGGTGACTCAGCGATCCTCTTGCTGAGTCCTTTTTGGATACCATTATTTTCTCCATCTGTTACACTAAATAATTTTATTAAATTGACTTCAGTATTACTTCAAGTTACATGACAGTAAAAAGATAGTTGACAAGCCAGTTGCAGTAGCTCAAGCCTGTAATCCTAGCTACTTGGGAGGTGGAAATAGGGGATAGTGGTTCCATGCTGGCACAAGCAAAAGAAGTTTGAAAGATTCCATCTTAACTAATGTCTGTGTGTGGTGGTGTGTGCTTGCTATCCCAGCTATGGGAGAATCACCATGACTGGGAACATAGGTACACTCTAGTAACCCAGAGAAGCACAAGTAGGAAGATTGCAGCTCAGACTGGTCTGGGCATATGTGAGACCCTACCTTAAACCCAATGGAAAAAGGGGCTGGAGGTGGTTACAGTGCTTGCCTACATGTAGGCCCAGAGTTCAATCTCAAGTATTGCCAAAGAAAAAAAGAAAAAAGAAATGAAGTTGACATACATTGGGATTGTGTTAATAGATTTACAAAATCTGAAACTTATTTTTGCAGTATTTTTTTCTGGTCCTGAAACTTGAACTCAGAGCCTGTTCACCTGTGTTTGTGCTTTTTGCTCAAGAATAGCACTCTATCACTTGAGCCACAGCTCCATTTCTAGCTTTTTGGTGGTTAATTGGAGATAAGAGTCTCATGGACTTTCCTGCCAAGGCTGGCTTCAAACTGTGACCCTCAAATCCCAGTCTCCTGAGTAGCCAGGATTACAGTTGAGAGCCACCAGTGCACAGCTGCAGTACAGGATTTTGAACTTGTTAGACAGGCACTCAAGTCCCATTTGCTTGGGTTAATTTTGAGATAGGTTCTGTTACTTTTTGCTTGAGCCAGCCTAGACCAATCCTCCTATATAGGCTTCCCACCATAGTTGGAAAGACAGGCACATACCACTACTTTTTTTTTTTTTTCTGTTAAGATGCAGTCTTCTCAACTTTTTTTTTGTCCCAGCTGGAATCCTCCCAATCTTTACTTACCATATAGTTGGGATAAGCATACACCACCAAATTCAGCTACTAGTTGAGAAGGGGTCTCATGAACTTTTTTCCCTTTTCCCTTTTCTTTTTGCTGGTCCTGGGGCTTGAACTTAGGGCTAGGGTGCTGTCCCTGAGCCTCTTTGTGCTCAAGGCTAGTGATCTACCACTTGAGCCAAAGTGCCACTTCCAGATTTTTCTGAATAGTTTATTAGATGTAAGAGTCTCACAGACTTTTCCTGCTGGTGTTGGTTTCCTGCTGGTGAGGATTTGATATCAAATCCTCAGATATCAGACTTCTGAGAAGTCAGGATTACAGATGTGAGACACCTGTATTCAGCTCCTTTTTAAAAAAAAATATTTAAAAACTGTTAGAAAAGGGTTCCAGTTCAATATGCCAATTTATGAGTATGAGGCATTTTGATCAGTGTCATCCCTTTCATTATTATCATCCTCATCTCTCCCAACCACACCCATCCCCTCAAATTACCTAGTTCCATTTTCACATATGTACACTGAATGTAATGACTGTATTTGCCACTATTCACATCTCCATTTGTCTTTTCCCCTTTCTTACTCCCCTCCCCTCAGACAAAGCATAGTTCTGTTTCCTAGTACTCATTTTGTTGACCTGTCAGTTAATCAAAGGAGTTCACCATGGAGATCAGTTTGTGTATATAACCATATGACCCTCTATCATGAAGTTTTGCCTGAGCTGGCTTCAAACCCCCATCCGTCCTCACGATGGATCCTCTCAGCCTCCTGAGCTAGTAACTAGGATTACAGGCATGAGCCACCAGTTCTGGGCTCCAAAAGGTAATTTTCTCAGAAGACTATTAAATAATGTTGTCTGTAAATATTTTGTAATGCCGTTAATCTGGCAACTTAATATTACTGACTTCACTCTTCAACCACAATTACGTATTTACTATAGCGCTAGTTTTCAAGCTCTGTGTGTGTGTGTGTGTGTGTGTCCATTTTCTCTACCTGTAAATATCATCATTAGCACAATGTCTGTTTACAGCCCACTGAAAAGGTCAGCTCCAGAGAAGCACACTTACAAAATGCACGGTTAGCATTTACTCAAGTTCTTAAGCAGAGTTGGACTAGAGTTTATCGTGGAAAAGAGAAAGGAAAAGAGAAAGGAAAGAGGGCATTCAGATTTCAACTGTTGTTCGAAAAATGTCCAAAGTGTCAAAAAAGGTTCTAACACTAGGTTAAATTGCACCGAGTCTTTAATCTGAATTTCACCATTCCCCAAACCTAGCACATACAAAGTTTTCAACGGATTATGCCAGAGCCAGGAAATCGAGGATAGTTAAGAGTAAAGCTTCGTACAGCTTAGTATTTTAAGCCCATGGACTCTGGGTTCAAGCCAGTTCTGCGATTAGAAAACTTGACAGCGTCATTGTCAATCTTGTCTGTCATTGTTAGTGCACAGCTGACGAAATGAACAAGATCTGAGGCACGGTCCTACTACCTTCTGAGTGCCCACTACTACACCCAAAACCTGCACACTTCTTCTTCTTTTTAATGAAGGAATTAACAATACACCTTTGGCCCGAAAGTTAACGTGGGAACACGCGATGGCGGGGAAGAGCCCGGACGGCGCGCCCCCGCTCGCGCGATCCTGCTGCCGCCCGGTCCAAAGGAGCAAAGGCCTCTGGGAAATGTAGTTTTAAGACCCTGGGAGAAACTTCAGCCACGGACTGAAGAGACAGGAAGATGGAGGTAAGGCAACACGGAATTAGGAGTACTGAAAAACTGTAAAGTGTCAGGAGGCCCAGAGGTGGGTTAAGCCGCTCACCTGAGTCTCCCAACACCAGTACCTTCACCCGATCCAGGGACGCCATCTTGCCACTGTCTCCCCGGGGGTTAAGACCTCTTCCGGGATTCTAGGCCAATCAGAACGGGGTATAGGGGGCAGCGCCTTTATTTCATTGGCTATTCATGTCGTGACTAAGTTGATTGATGGACCCGCGGTTCTGATTGGCCGTTCTAGTTAAAGGGAGCGGGCGGTTTTCTCGACTAGTCGCAGACATTTGGCGTTTTCTTTGTCGCACAGGTGGCGTGGACTCTTGTAAGCCGGTAGTTGGGGGTGCCCAGGGGCAGCCGTAGTGGGAGTGAACGTGGACTCGCTTCGGTAAACCTTTATTCCCTGTACCTTGTTTCCAGTGTCCGGGCCCGGCATCGTATTTCATGTTTGTCCCGGTCCACTCTCTTCACTGAACTCTTCCCCCTTCTCTCCGGCCAGCTTTTGGCCGTGGTCCTCTTCTTGGTCTTCCAAAGAACCCTTGACCTCGGCGCGGCCCATGTGCGACCTCCGGTAGGACAGGCCGGGCTGCGCCGAGTGTGGCCCGGGACACACCTGGGAGCGTCTGAGGGAGAGCGGGATGGCGGGGTGCCGAGGCGGGAGGACCGAGCCCTCCTGAGCGCAGCCGCGCGTGGCGGGCAGCTGGGTGCGGGGGGCCCGCGTTCCTGGGTGCCGCATTATGTGTGATGGCGGGGAGTGTGCCCCCAGAAGACAGCTCCGGAGAAACCGCAGAGAGCTGTCCCGCACCCGAGTTCTAGAACGGAAACCACTGTCTATATAAAGTAATCCAAGCGGGAGCACCTCCCTTCTCCTTTCATTCCCCACCCTGCAATCAGAGGCTTAATGAAAGAAGTTAAAAATTCGACCCAGTCACATCTCTGCTTAACGCTGGAGACTAAGTTGGCTTAACAGCTGTCTTTTTCTATTGTGAAAGCAAGTGTAGGTGAAGTGGATGGTGGGCAAGTCGGGAGGATGGGCGTGTTGGAAGAACACGTGTCTAGGAAATTGTTTTGTGAAGTACTTTTCTAGCTGTGCTAGATACTGGAAATTCCGTGATGAAATTGATTTTCTGGTCTTAGGCATACTTATAGAGAAAGTACAAAATGGGAAGGAGCTATAGGGACCTGTGAAAGGAGATAATTCTGTGCAACTTAGGGAGAATGGCCTCTGTGGAAATGTCACCAGACTTAGAGGGATGGCTATTTGTACTTAGCTTTGGGGGCTCAGGGAGCACGTGTTGCTCATACGATTGCAAGTATGAGTGTGGCTGCATATGAGACTTAACAAGATTAAATGCAAGTATTTCCAGCTTTGTCTAGCCCTGTGCCTGGAGCACAGTGGTCCTTAAATGTTTCTGTGATATGATATGGGTGTGTGTGTGTGTGTGTGTGCACAGTGGTCCTTAAATGTTTCTGTGATATGATATGGGTGTGTGTGTGTGTGTGTGTGTGTGTGTGTGTGTGTGCACAGTGGTCCTTAAATGTTTCTGTGATATGATATGGGTGTGTGTGTGTGTGTGTGTGTGTGTGTGTGTGTGTGTGTGTGTCTTGTCTTGAAAGGATCATAGATGAGGCTGGAATGACTGCCCTAGTAAGTTAAAAAGGAAATCCCCTTAAGCACACTCGGAAGCCTCCAGAGACCCAGCAGAGCTCCTTCCTTGTCTAAAAGAATCCATCCTCTGGTATTCAGCTTCAGGTTTTTATTTTTAAGTGAGAACACGGGCTCACTTTTTTTCCCACAGATATTTCCAGTTTTCAAAAGAAGTTCTAAGTGGAATTGTATGTGAAATATCTTGATTTTTAAATGTGACAACTCAGAAAATGTTCAAAACACTCAGGATGAGTGTGTATAGGCTGCGGTTTTAGACCTCCGAACTAAATAACAAGAAATTCAGATACCAAGTAGGGTGATTTAGTATGTGTTGGGAAGAGGAGTAGTGGTGGAGAGACTGCAGTGGTGAGTAAGGTGGATTTCAAAATACAGAGATTTTGAACAAGGTAGCCCAGTTTGACATTCTTGAACTCTAGTTTCATCTGATCACTCCTGGTGGGCATTAAAGGAGTAAGGCATGATATTTTCTCAAGGACAAACTTCTAGAAGGGAATTCCTCCTTTTGAGGTCTTACCTATTTGTCTTGGCAGTACTTTACCTGGTATCAATGGTTCAAAATAAGTGTTTAAGATTTTTCCTGGTGTCCAATATATTGGTATTATTATTATTATTATTTTGTCGGTCGTGGGGTTTGAGCTTTGAGCCTGAGCGCTGTCCCTAAGTTCTTCACCTCAAGGCAAGGGCTCTACTGCTTGAGCCACAGAGCCACTTCTGGTTTTCTGGTGATTTATTGGAGATAAGAGTCTCATGAACTTTCCTGCACACTGGCTTTGAACCATGATCCTCAGATATCAGCCTCCTCAGTAGCTAGGATTACAGGTGTGAGCCACTGGTGCCCGGCTCAATATATTATTTTTGTTTCTGTGATGTTTCATTCATCATGTCCTCTTCCTTTTTTCTTTTTTTCTTATAATACTTCTGTAGTGCCTCTCCCTACATCTGAGGCCAGTCCTCATGTTTCTATGAAGAATAGATTTTTTTTTTTTTGAGACATGGTCTCATTGTGTAGCCCAAACTGGTCTGGAACTCATAATCTTCCTGCTGGCATTACAGGAATGTACCACTATGCCCAATTTACAAGATCACTTTATTTTTCTTCCTAATTCTTTTTAAAAAATTAAATATATTTTTATTGTTATTATAAAGGTGATATACAGAAGGGTTACTGTTTGATTAGTCAGATAATGAGCACAATTTTTTTGGGGCATTGTTACCCCTTCATATGACCAGAGGCACAGAAATAATGTGCCTTTGTGTTCCTTCCCTAAGAGTATCCCCCTTTGGTCATTCTGTGTGGCAAGATCTCTTTTATAAGGAGATTTTACTATGAATGCCAACCTTGGAAGTAGAACATTTTATGTTAATTATCTCATTTAATTCATACTTCAACTGTATGAGGAAGGCAATTGTTGGTTAAGAATCTGGGGCTAAGGGTTTTCTGAATCAACAGGCTAAGAAATAAAACTGGAATTCAAATCTCCATACTGTTGGATTGCAGACTCTCATGCCATTCCTTGCTGTAATCTTCAGGGTTCCCAAAGATGTTTCAAGCAAAAGAAATAGTTTGAGTAATAGGTGGTACAGAGACCTCCGTGCAGGATATGCAGTGATATGATATATAAAGCCAGGGGTCCAGATTGTTCCAAGCTTTTAAAATCAGTGCCATGTCTAATCTGGCCCATCAGTGGAAGCAACCCTTCTGCAAATGGGACTTTAAATTCTAAAGATGCTGCCCAGATGATTCTAGTTGAGAACTATTAGTCTGGTGCATGGAAAGTTATGGGGCAGGGACCCATAGAAGAAAATAGAAATAGTAGGAAATACTAGAAAAACAGGTTATGTTGAAATTATTTGTCCTACTTTGGTCTTTTGGATGTTTCTAAAACCATGTGTTAAACCTGCCATTTTGGACATGTAAAGCAATAACAAAAAACCTGAAACTAGATTTAAGAACAGTGTATCAATCAAACTGGAAATGAGAGTAAAATGTGTCCGGTACTATGCTGTGATGTTATTTTGGTATAAACCTAAGGCATCATTAAGCCTTGAGGTGACAGGAAAGCTCTAGGACCAATAGTTCAAATTTAGGTGCTATTTTTTTCCATATATAGCTATATAGACATATAGATATGCACAGAGAGATGGGTATGCATGAGTATTTACAGTATCAAAAGCATTTTAACAGTATATTTTTATTATAACTGGCTTTCCTTTTAGTTTTCCTTTATTATAAATGGAGCTTATCCACCTCCCCTCCATATAGGTATGTACATTGGCTATTTAGAATATAAAACCATAAGGGTCATAAAGTCTGCTAGGAGCTAGATGGTTCAAGCCTATAATACTAGCTATTTGGGAGACATATCAGATGTCACAGTTCAAAGCCACTCCCAGCATAAAAATTTGCAACAGTCCATCTCAATCAATACAGTGACCCAGGGAAGCACAAGTAGGAAGATCAAAGCCCTGGCCAGTCTTGGTGTAAAATAAGATCCTACTTCAAAACTAATTATGCAAAAGGGGACTGGAGGCATGTCTTACATGGCAGAGTGCCTGCCTAGCAAGCAGGAATTGTTGAGTTCAGTCCCTAGTACTGCTAAAAAAAATTTTTATAGGGTTGATTTCAAGCAAAAGCTTTAGTTGAAACTAGTATTAATAACTGAATATGATTCCTCATTTTAAATAGCTCAGTAGAATATCAGACATTTTCCTATCTAGTCTTTGTGATAGCCTGGTTATTTAAAATTGGTAACATTAAATTGATGGGGAAGCTGCCCTTGTTAACAAGATTTTTGTAAGCACTTTACTTAAATTCTTATCAACACCCACGTTCTCTTTCTTAGAGAATAAAATATGACTTGAATTAGTTTGATGGATTTGATTAGGCTCACAGAGCTACTAAAGCATAGGCTGCCTAATTCCAGAGCCCATGGTTTTAACAGTCACATGTAAGTCTTAACAATCACCTGCTAATTTGAACTTTGAGAGGATAACTTTCTGGACCAGAACATGGAAATTAGATACAAAAGCAGTCTGGATCTAAGTGTTAATTTCTTGTAAAGTAAGGATATTTTGGGGGTCAGATATCCAAAGGTTTTTGTCATGATTTTGTTGTGAATGCCTGACTATATAAAACATCCTGAAATCTTGGTACAAAATTTTTACTTAAGTAAAAATACAGTACTTCAAGGGTATGTTAACTGAGGGGCTTCCCAGCATTCATAGAGATGGTGAGCATCTCACAGAATTTTTGTGTTTCTATTTCTGAAATAAAGTGGTCTTGATATAATATATCATTGTGAATAATAGTTTTTTAGAATCAAGAACTCTGTTGATCATGAAGGTTACATTTAAGAAATATGTCAAGCTTTTTAGGTGAAAAAATTTTTATACAAGTCCTTTAAAGCAACATTTGAGTACCTTTGTGGTACTTTTAAGAACAGTGGTAACTACGCTATCAATAATAGGCAGACTATTATAGATTTAAAATAATTACCATGTCCTCGAATTTATGATCTGTCTCTCTCTAATTCAGTATAGTTGAAGCTTGCTACAAAAGATGGCAGATCCAGATGTTCTCACCGAAGTTCCAGCAGCATTGAAGAGGTTAGCCAAGTATGTGATCCGGGGGTTTTATGGCATTGAACATGTGTTGGCCTTGGACATCTTGATCAGGAATCCCTGCGTGAAAGAGGAAGATATGCTGGAGCTGCTCAAGTTTGATCGGAAGCAACTTCGATCTGTTTTGAATAACTTAAAGGGAGACAAGTTCATCAAATGCAGAATGAGGGTAGAGACTGCTGCAGATGGCAAAACCACTCGCCATAACTACTACTTTATCAATTATCGTACTCTTGTTAATGTTGTTAAGTACAAATTGGACCACATGAGAAGGAGGATTGAAACTGATGAGAGAGATTCCACCAACCGGGCTTCCTTTAAATGTCCTGTCTGTAGTAGTACTTTTACAGACTTAGAAGCTAATCAGCTCTTTGATCCTATGACAGGTGAGCCTTAAATAGTTTGTACATCAAGTGAAATAATTTTGTACCTGTTTTCTTAAATTGACGCACCTAAATTTTAAGGCAGTCATGTACATTATGAACATGAATGGCTTAGTAATGGTGAATGAGTATACAGCAGTCAGTCTGGCTGTCATCTACTTTCAGAAGTTTTTGCATAGTCTGTCCCACACAGAGAATATACTCATCCCTGAGGAATTTTTCATCCTCACTGTCCAGCCTCTGCTTACCACCTTTACCCATATTTCATATTTCTGCTGCAGCCTAATCTGAATGATTGGCTTGTCTACCACTTTGAGGTTATACTGACAACTTTACTTTTGTTGTTGTTGGCCGTGGGGCTTAAACCCTGGGCCTCAGCGCTGTCCCTCAGTTCTTCAGCTCAAGACTAGCACTCTACCACTTGAACCACAGTGCCACTTCCAGTTTTCTGGTGGTTTATTGGAGATAAGAGTGTTACAGAGTTTCCTGCCCTGGCTGGGTTTGAACCATGATCATCAGCTCTCAGCCTCCTGAGTAGCTAGGATTACAGGTGTGAGCCACCGACACCCAGCTTGACAACTTTACTTTTGACTTGTTGTGTCCGCAAATATTTGAGCACCTACTCACTCTAATCACTGCTAGATAATTATACTGTATTTAAATGCTTAGTGGAAGTATAAAATGTTATCAAGACTGCCTACCTCAGGCTATGCATGGCATTGTATTCCTATATTTCTGGCTTTGAGGGGAATAAAGGTAAGACAATCACTATTGAGGCCAGTACAAGCAAAAATGTTAGGGAGATCCTGCCTCAAAAATCAAGATGAGCATAGTAGTACACATCTCTGATTCCACCTGTACAGTGGGCAGATGAGATGTAGGAGGATCACAGTCTGAAGTGAGTGTAGGCAAAATGTAAAAACCTTATCTGGAAAATAAACTAAAGCAAAAAAGACTGGAAGTGTGGCTCAAATGATAGGGTGCCTGAGTTCAAATCTTAGTACTACAAAAAAGTAAAAGAGAGAGCATGAGTACTGTGGATTTGGGAAAGGCCTACAGAAGTTCAGTTGGAACCAAGATCTAAAGCTTATAAGTTAGCCTGATAAAAGAAGGGGAGTTCTTTACAAGTTAACAAAAGGGCATTTAGTGTCTCTCAACCATTCATGAATGGAAGAGAACTGGCAACAACATATACACTTTGTCTTAAGTGAGGCAAAGAAAGACTTTCATTGACATAATTGACAAAACATGTATTTTCCAAAAATACATTATATCTGACATGAAAAACTTTAAAGTATGGGTTATATGGTTATTTTGCCTTACTATTTTTAATTTAGTAAAGTTTTACTATTCAGTAGATCATTGGATATTTCTTTAAGGACAACATTGCTGATTAGTTGATACTGGCTTTTGTTTGCTTGTCAATTCTGGTAAGTTTTGTTTTGTTTTGTTTTGTTTTGCTATGAATGCCTTAATAATCCACCACCACATCCCTCCCCCCCAATGTCTTTATGTTCTCCTTAGAAATCTTTGTCTTTTTCTTCTGTTCTGTTCCACTCAGTTTTCATCTCTTTTCATAATGAAGAAAATAAGAAATATTTTCTGTATGTTTCAGGGGAAGAGGGAACTTTTTTTGTTAATCTTAGGCACTGTCTGAACAGATTGCAGTTTTCATTCTACTCTTGGTCTTCTACAAACCCATCCTATTTCCTAGTTGCTTATTGGGGATTGATACTATTTCTGGCCTTTTTTTTTTTTTTGGTCAGGTGATGGGGATAAAAGATGACTTTCTATCTCCATTTCTCTCTAACAGTTCAGATTTATCTTAACCACTAGGGAACATTTAGAAGTTAGATTTGAAACCTAGACTTTATACTGTTGGCTCGGATCGAAAGTTCTTAACTCAAGTGTAGGGCTGCTCTCTGTCAGTGGACAAAGAGAAGTGATGCTTAGATAACCTTCTGAGGAGCACCTAGAAATTCTGGGCTCAAGGTTGAGCTCAGTTATTGTTTTTATCAGCATTAATTCACAAATACAGGCCAATGATCTTACTTTATTAAATAGCTTTTTCCTGCTATTTTTTTTCTCCTTTTCTTAAAAGTATAGATTCTCTCCATATTTGCCATTCTCCTTAGCAATCTTTGGTATCCCTTTCTTTGACAAAATGTGTAACTCTTGATAAGTATAGCTCCTTTATTTTATTAAAATGGAAGTAATAAATACCCTGACCTTTACCACCAATCCCTGGTTTTAGAACCCTAATAATCAGGCAAACTGTTATAGGTTTAGTTCCTTAAATATGGGGGATTCATACAGTCAAAACAAAGATAACATGATATGAACTCCCTCACATCATAAATGCATGTTTTAGGTTTAGTAGGCTTTCTAACTAGTTAAATAGACTTCATATTTCTATTTTAGCAGTCTCAGCCATGGGTGATATAGTTAATGGCACTTGTAAGTTCATATCTTGTTCTCTTTTTAGATGCTAAGCTTAGATGACATGAAAATAGCCTTGTGTTTTCCACTTTTAATCTTAAAATTATGCAATCATAATGTCAGGGAGAATTTAAAGAGAAGAAAAACACCCACAAAACACCAGACTTTTCATATTAGCTGTAGTTGTAATGGTAGCTTAGAATATTTGTCATCTCTTGTTTCCTTAGCATACCAAACTCCAGTTTCTTTTTAATGTTCAAAATATCTGGGAGCTGCCAGGCGCCAGTGGCTCACGTGAGCCTGTAATCGTAGCTACTCAGAAGGCTGAGATCTAAGGATCAGGGTTCAGACTAGTTCAGATAGGAACATTGGTGAGACTCTTATCTCCAAATTAACCACCAGAAAACTAGAAGTGGCGCTGTGGCTCGCTCAAGTGGTAGAGAGCGCTTGACTTGAGCTGAAGAGCTCAGGGACAGTGCACAAGCCCAGAGTTCAAGAACCGTGACCGAAAAAAAAATATATGGGAGCAATAGAGTCTTAATTCAGGGCTTTGTATTTTCTAGGCTGGCCTGAAACTGATCCTCTTCAGTGTTAGCCTCCAGAGTAGATACTAGTGCGCAGCTCAAAAATAAATAGATCTGATCGTAATAGATTGGATTCCATTCCCCTGTTTTCCTGCCCACACTTTCAAACACTTTGATAAATCTATTTTTTTCTGTTATAGATAAGATCCTTTGGATCCTTTATATATATATATTATGTATATAACATATATATATATATAATATTTTATTACTGTTTCTTAGTAGTAGGAATGTTGCCAAAAGAATATAGTTTTATAGCTTCTATATATGCATATGTACCATGTAGTTTTATTGTGGGCAAATTAAAATTGTGGTTTGATGAAAATAGTTTGGCAGCCTCTCTGTCAGATCCTATTGTAAGTAAACTTTGAGGAAAGGGATAGTTGAAGTTTTTTTAAAATAAGTATTTAATAAAATCTTATAATAACTTATAGATTATGTAGTTAACTTATCAAATGATGTATGTGTGGATGTGAGTTTGGAGGATCTTACAAAGTAATCACATGAATCTAGAGGTATATAGATTGGCTGTAGCCCTTAGAGTGATGTTAGAAAGACTACAACAACCTTCAAGAGGGTTCTCTTTGTGTGGCTCATTTGAAAAGACTTAGAGACAATAGGTTTTAGGATTCACATAAAGAAGTTAAATAGCTCAACCAAGTCAATAATAACTTAAATGTCACTGTGAATAGACGGCTGCTATTGATGAGTTTTGAGCTACTTGCTCATGTAATCTTGGTGTTGAAACTAGTAAGGGCCTATATTTGTTTAGTTTTCCTTGGTATTTAAAGCAAGCTACTCTTAATACTTAAGGCAGGAGATGTAAGCAGAGTTTTCAGTTTCTGAAATGCTAAAAAGCGAGGACAGACAAAAGCAATATAGCATTTATGTGCTTAATTGCTGAGTTCCCAGTCTTCGGAATCTAGGATTGCTTAATTAAACAGGTATACTAGAAATCTCAGAGGTATGGATTTGGGAGGGTGGTAGAGGTAATTATTAGAATAAGTTAAAAGAATATGTAAAAACAAGTTATAGAAAGATAGTAAGGAACAAGGATCTTTCCTCATCTGCTCCTTTATCTCCCTAACTTTTACTTGAGGCTTGATTGCTTTTGATCTTGAGAATTTGAGAGCTGTGTCCTTTTAAACTTTTGTGGATTTTTAAAATGCTGACATTAAGTGTTTATTGTGAAGAGTTGCTTTTTAGTTTTGATTCTGGCAAATAATATTTTCTTTCAAATATTCATATCAATACCACAGACTTTTTGCCTGCCCACTGCATGCTGGGATTTGATTTGATTTAAGCCTAATTTAGAAATTTGTTGCTAGCATCCATGTACTATATTTCAATTTGTCATTATTTTCCCTTGCCCCCAGGCATAGTACATTTTTCTTCTTTATAATGAGTTCCAGAATCTAGGAATAATGTGTGGTTAGACCAAATCTAGGAAAGTCCATTTGAAAGAAGACAGAAGCCAATTTTATTGATAAATTGAATTTGGGGTATAAAGTTGGATTATATATATCATTAATACACATATGAGATCTTGTGACATTTCTAAAAACAACCACTTTATCTCTGACTTTCTACATGTTCAAATGTTTTTGCAGTATTGTATGTTCTACCTTGAATTATTTTATTAAAAGATAATTTTTCAAACTTTTTATTATAAGTAAAATAATTATGTGAAATATATAACTATATAGCTGTCATATATTTGGTAGAAAAAGCAATTCTTTTTTCCACATACTTCTCCTTGTCTAATTAAACAGAAGGCATTTGCTTGATGAAAATTAACTTTGAAAATTGGAATAAAAGGTGACTTTTTGAAACCAGCATTGATTTAACATTTTAATATATATCCCTCTAAACATTTTCAGTTATAAAACTTCTAACAAAGGATTTCAAACAAAGATTTCAAAGCTTTAAAAAATTAGCTAGTAGCCAGTGATTCTTTTAAAAACCACATCAGGCCGTATC